AGCAGTTTACAATCTCCTTTCCCTTCCCCTCCCCACAACAGACACCCTGTGAGGGAGGCGGGGCTGAGAGAGCTCTTTCCAGAACTCTCCTTGAGAGAACAGCTCTAAGAAGACTATGGCTTGCCCAAGGTCATCCAGGAGCTGCAAGTGGAGAAGCGGGGGATCAAACTCGGTTCTCCCAGATTAGAGTCCGCACACTTAACCACTACGCCAAACTGGCCCTTTCAAATGGCTGTGATAACAGGCAAACTCTGGAGGATCAGTAGAACTGGTAAGCACCTGGACTTTCCTTGGTCTGTGTACAGTTCCATTCGCCCTTCTGCCTTTATTTTTCCCCAAGGAAATTCAAGGAGGGAAGTATTCCATTTGGTTCCACCTCCTGCAGCAGCCATTTTGGAGCAGGACTCGCCACCCCCTCTCGAAATTCCAAACGTGACCACAGGCTCGAAAAGGTTGGGGACGCCTACTCTACCCTGTCCACATGTAGAACTGGGAGGACCTGGGTTTATTTGGCTAACCCTCGCCTATTCTCCTCCCCATCTCCCCTCCCTTCCCAATTTAGACTGTAATCTCCTTGGGGCAGGGACCTATCTCTTTGTTTCATGACACTGTGAACCAGGGGTGGCCGCATGTGGCTCTTTCACATTGCCTAATTTAAGGCTAATAAAAAACAAATGTGCACACTTTTTCAATAAAAATGTGTGTGTAATATGGCAGGGACCTATCTCTTTGTTTCATGACAATGTAAACCAGGGGTAGCCAAACTGCAGCTCGGGAGCCGCATGTGGCTCTTTCACATTGTCTAATTTAAGGCTAATAAAAACAAATTTGCATATTTTCCAATAAAAACATGTATGTAATATTTGTTCATGTCTTGTGGCTCTCAAAATATCTGACGTTTATTCTGTGTGGCTGTTAACGTTAAACAAGTTTGGACACCCCTGCTGTAAACAAACACAGATGGCTGCTGTAAAAACAGGAAAGCAGACTAATAAGCCGATATCCAATCACCCCCTGATATCTGATTTTGAACCTGCCTACCAGACTGCAGGCAAATCGGGACTTATAAAGAATAAACCTTTGAAGAAAGTTGACAATTAAGCACATTGGAAACAAAGAGATTGTTATCAAAAGTCAGGGACAAAGAACTTTTTATCAACTTGTTATCAAAAGTCAGGGACTTGTTATCAAAAGTCAGGGACAAAGAACTTTAGTTATGGGGCCATCATGTAATGCACCGCAGAAATTCAGTAGATGGAAACTTCGCCTCCCCGAAAGAAACAGTAAATCAGAATTAGAACTAGCAGCACCACCTTCAGGTACAAAGCAGAAGAGCACAGAGTGGGAAAAATCCTTATTTTAACACTCATAGAATCAGGTCCCCAGGACTTATAAAGAATAAACCTTTGAGGAAAGTTGGCAATTAAGCACATTGGAAACAACCAACTTGTTATCAAAAGTCAGGGAGAAAGAGCTTTAGTTATGGGGCTATCATGTAATGCAGTGCAGAAATTCAGTAGGTTGAAGCTTTGCCTCCCCCCCCCCCCAAAAAAAAAAGTAAAT